ATAAGGATGACATACTGAAAACTGTTTTTCCGACTTTAAATGGCAAGTATTAATGCTTAAGACTTCCTTCCGATCTTAAGAATGCGCTCGCAATTTTTCAAAGAATGATGAAACGGTAAAATTTGTTACATATACATATATCGATGATATAATTATATTTGGTGGTAACAATTAAGACCACCATCCCAAAAACGTGGAAAAAGTATTCGATAAGCTCCTGAAGGCCAACTTAAGAGCAAACCTGGATAAAACGGAATTTCTTAGAGAACAAACGGAATTCCTTGGTTATATAATTACTGGACAATTAATCAGAGCAGACCCAAAAAAGGTGAATGCGATAAGAAGTATTAAACTACCTGCAAACTTGAAAGAATTGAAATCATTCCTTGGATTAGCATCATATTACAGACGATTTATAAAGGACTTTACTCAACCTGTAAAGTCCCTCACAAACCTTACAAGAGGAGAAAACGCTCAAATAAAAGCAAACCAATCAAAGAATTTAAAGATAAAAATGGGCCATGTAGAACTAAAACCGTTTAATATTTCCCGACTTCGACAAAACATTCAACTTGATCTACCAACTATTACCAACGGACTACCAACTATTACCGTTTACACTAAGTAACCGAAATAACAACGCTAAACTAAAACAATGGAAGACCCGCCTCGAAGAGTACAATTATTTATTTATTTATTTTTTAGTTATTTATTTATTTATGTTTAGCTCAAACATTTTAAAAAAACATTTTTTTAACTTAAAATTAAAGAATGCATATACATACATACATATTTTTTAGACGGAAAAAATTTTTGACTTAAAAATTAAATTTAAAAATTATACAAAATAAAACTAGTTAATATTAATACTTCATTAAATATGAATATAAACAATAAAAAACTAAAACAAGAATTTGTTTAAATAAAAAAAAAAGGATTATATTTAGCTATAAGTAAATAGAAGCTTTTTCAATGAAAATTGTGTTATTAATTGTAGAGGACATCCGTCTAGAAGAAAACAAGCTAAAAATAATCAGAGATGTACATAGGAGAGCCCATCGTAATTGGAAGGAGAACAAGGAACCAATACTAGTAAAATACTATTTTCCTAGCATGGCAAGTTTAGTAAAAAATACACCGACAAGTGTGAACACTAACACTAACGATCGACACCCGAACAAACTTTAACTGAAAGAGACACCCATTCAAAAATATCCAGCGGAAATTGAACACATTGATTTAATACAAATCAAGGGAGAAAAGTTTATCACTTGTATTTACAAATTTTCAAAATTTGTTAAATTTTTCAAAATCAGAGACATGTCTGCAATACATCTAAGACAAAAACTGAAAAAAATCTTCCACTATTTTAGTATACTTGACTTAAATATATAATATACTTGACTCCAACTCAAAAAAGTGAAGTAAATGGGGTTATAGAAAGAGTACATTCAACCATCAAGGAAATGGCAAGGTGTTTGAAACAAGAATACAGAGAACTATCGTTGAAAGAAATTATAAACAAGGCAGTCGACAGATATAACAGCTTAATACATTCTGTTACTATGAAAAAACCAGCGGATATCTTTTTTTGGAAGAACACAACGTTTCAACCATCAAAATCTACACGACTTCCAATAAAACGTGCATGAGGATATTAAAGGCAAAATTCGAACGGCCAAAAGACAAACACCCGAAGTATAATATCCCGGAGAAATCATTTACGTAGCCAATAAACAAATTCAAGATAAAAACAAACCAGTATTTAAAAAAGAGCAAGTTGCAAGAAATAATAGGGTTACCATCACCACCGAGTCGGGGAAAAGAATTCACAAAACTCATATAAAAAATTCACCCGCAACCACCTAACCAAATTTTTTTCTTTTCAGCTTTTGGCTCTGGTTATGGGCACCAACAAAAAACATGCAAATTTATAACTACGAATCACCGATAGCAACCATAAAAGAAGAAAAAACAAAAATTCTAGATGGAAGCTACAAACTGATTCACAAAATAGACCTCAACATGTAGAGAAGAAGTATTGGAAAGAACTAGACAAGAAATTAAAACACTCAACAATAGAGACCGCTTCAAGACACAAATAAATTTTCAAGTTGAAGAAATCGAAAACCTAATTCAGGAAGTAACTCAACATCAAAGATACAAATGCTCAATCAACTGAATCGGAACACTTTTTACAAACAACGTAATGAATAAAGCAACAAATGTGACAATAATCCTGGTAATAATTGGATTACTAGACATCCTCCTGAGAAGACATAACCACTGAAAACTAATCATAACACTGTATAACTTAGTTGATGAAAATCTAGCCAAACTTCAACAATATCTTCAATAAGTAAATTTAAACATATAATTTACGAGCTGTGAATTTTTTAAGGAGGGAAGGGTTAAGATACTACAGAACGTGCATTAAGTAAACAAGCCACTGAGGTCAGCAGTTTTTTCATTTTCATAAATTTAAAAATGTAAAACTTTCATTTTTTAAAAAAGTAATTCGAAGCCATATTTTTCATTTAAAATATTAATTATAATTTCTCACGCTGAATTTTAGCCTAATCAGCAACTTTTGTTTTTAATTTAAAATATTAACTATAATTTCTCACGCTGAATTTTAGCCTAATTAGCAATCAAATTGTATAAATACCGTTAGAATTAAGATTAAGACACAGTTTATATCTGTAATTAAATCAATTAAAAATATTTTATAACGAATTGCCGTAAATTAGTTAACTTGTATATTATATTGAAATTATTTATATCGGGAGTATGCATATCGAAAGAAACCTGTACTTATCTTCTTTGCATATCACATTGAAATGAATATTGTCTCTTGTAATGCAATTTCGAAGATACCCATAATTATTTTCGATATATACGATATGCGATAGCGATACCGTATCGTTATCGTTTTATCGTAGTATTATGAACCGAAAACCGATGAAACCGATAAATTAAAGCAAAAGGATAAAATGAAAAAAAGATTTATTGATGAGTATACTATTTTGTTTGGCAGATTCAAAGATTTTAAATTCATATGAACTCATACAGTCAACATTTGAAAAAGCATTTCTTGCACTATTTAAATTCTTCTTCATTATTTCTGTTATCCTATTTAGTTGAGATTTATTACAAACAATTCTGTTCCTAAAAATACAAAATTAAATTTATCTTAACTTATAGTCCTCAATTTTGTTAATAATATCGAAATACCGTGACTTCAATAATGCGCTTACGATGTAAACTTTACAAAGTATCACATTGCAAAAAGTTTAGTAAAAGCTCTTAACATTGTACACTTTTCCTAAATGCTTTCTATACGTAGTGGATACGTAAAATAAAAATAAATTGGATATCGAAAAAATCGATCACGCTTTTTTTATACATGTCATATAAATGTTGCCAGAAATAACCAATTAAATAAACTAGCACATATTTTCAGTAGTAAAGTGCTAGTTATTAAGTTTTCTTCCTAAACTGCAGCATAAAAATGCAATGTTTTTAATGATATGGTAACGTTTGTTGAAAATAAACATTTGCAATGAACTTTAAATTGAAATTTTCAAATCAAAGTATGTATAATATTATTGTACAAATTGTATTCCAAAATGTATCAAAAGCTTTAAAAGTTTTTTTTTTAAATGTAAAGTTATTGAAAGCTCTGAGGCGATACTGCAATCGGTACTGCACTTAAACTTTCTATAAAGCATTATTGAAGTCACGGATACTTCATTTTTTTTATTTTTGTTAACTGAAAAACTACTGGTAAAATCACTATCGCATGCTTAAAATTATCCGATAAACCGTGACTTCAATAATGCGTTTACAACGTAAATTTTACAAAGTATCAAGTTTCAAAAATTTTAGTAAAAGCTCTTGACATTGTACACTTTTCCTAAATGCGTTTTATACGTAGTGGAGACGTAAAATTAAAGTAAATCGGGTATCGAAAAAATCGAGCACACTTTTCTTATACTTTGTCATATAAATGTTGCCGTAAATAACCAATTAAATAAATTAGCATTTTATTTTCAGCAATAAAGTGCTAGTTATTAAGCTTTTTTCCTAAAATGCAGAATAAAAATGCAATGTTTTTGATGACTGGTAATGTTTGTTAAAAATTAACATTTGCACAGAACTTAAAATTGAACTTTTCAAACAAACGTCAAAGTATGTAATAATATTGTAAAAATTGTAATCCAAAATGCACGAAAAGCTTTAGTAGTTTTTCTTACATTGTAAAGGTATTGAAAACTCTGAGACGTACTTAAATCTTTTTTACAGCATTATTGAAGTCACGGAAAATCTATCGGAAAATTGCAGAAATAAATTTTTCATAATACGATAAACACTAGTTTACATGCAAATCTATATCAAAAAAAAAACTTGAAATACGATAAATCGTGCGATACAATGGCGACAAATATATTATATTATAATAATGACACTACAATAACTATCAGAAATATTGTGTATTGTACAATATTTTTTTCATAATACGGGCCATTATAAAAATTCGCCATTCCAACTTGTCTCCAATTAAAAACGCACATAAAAATGTTACAAGTAAACTTGTAGCTTTTTAAGTTTCTGGTGCAGAAGTTTAGGTAAATCAGTGAATTTGGCATTGAATAATTTTTTAACTTAATACTGTGACTGTATCTCAAAGACTGCAAGAACAAGTAGCAACATTGGAGTTTTTGTAGCCGCTTTTTTCCGCTGCTGAAGTTAATTCAGTTCCAAGTTAGAAATGCAAACGCAAACTGCATTTTCAAAAATAACCATAGCTATGTTGCGATTTGAAACTGTGTGCTCATTTATTGAAATCAGCAACTTCTTTTAGAAAAACGAGGCATGAAATGTCATTGGTACACGCTCAAAAATTTATTGAAGTTACAATTCAAAGCACTTGAAAGACTTTATAATAAGGAAGGATAAAAACAGAAAAGGGTGTGTAGTCAATTGGTAAAATATTTCAGTATCAATAAAATTATGTCATTTTTTATTCGTAATAGAAATGAACTTTATTACATTTAATGCTTATTTATGTCTTTCAAATTATATTTTCCTTCATTTTTATGGGGGATAATATAAAGCAACTACATCATTTCTTTTATAATATTTGCGTATAATAATTATGATGCATATAGAAATTTTTAACAGATAAGTGGTTATATTATCGTCTGTTGAGAAATGAAACTGTTTTTCTCAACAGACGTTATTACAAATAAATATGATTATAATTGATTTTTACTTTTTTTACTTTTTGAAATTAAAAAAAAAATATTTGATAACATTATAAATAAATTTAATCCACTTTTTGGAACATTACATCCCATAACCCTGATATTGCATATTTGGTGTTGCGTACCCAGGAGCATATGTTGCAGCATACTGCGCAGGCATTGATATTCCTGGACCGGCTGTTATCATTAGTTGAGGTGTGGGTTCAATTGAAATTATGCTTTTTTGTTCTCCGGTATCACTTTCTTTTTCACGTTGCAGTTCCTTTGCATCTAATTTGTCTACTTTAGATGTATATTCTCGAATTATCTAAAACGAATTTTCATGAAAATTATTATAATAATTTAATACGAAACAAACCTGAATTATATATGGCATTGCGAAATCCAATATATTGTGGCGCCAAGCCAACTCCAATATTACATCCGGTCGTAATAAATCGTAACACTGAAATATACATATAAAATGTATTTGTTTTTGTAAATTAAAGAATATAATTAAAAAAATAACTTTGATCGTATAATACGAATAATATTAAAATTTAAAAAATATAATAGTGAAAGTATATATTTCAAAACCAAGCAAATTTACTATATCGTGACTGATTTTATCAGAAAATTAATGATTTTATACAGAAAAAATTAAAATTAACCTTTCAAAATTGTATGTGAAAGTGGTATATCAATCAATTTTTTAATTTACCATGAATAATAATCTTAAGAAAGTAAATTGCCTGGAGAATGAATTGCAATGCTGGATAATTTATACCTTTTATGTACATATATAATTTTAATATAGCAAAGATATTTCGTTTATTCAGTTTACGTACTGAAAACACAAAGCAAAGAAAAAAAGTGAAATTAAATTTAATTTTGAAATGTAGTTCCGGTTTCATTATATAGCAAAAAATTCTAGGTTGTTCAAACTGCATTTTTTGAAGTTTTTCGTAGTCATCGGATTAAATTTTACCTATAAAAAGTTACAGAAATTAATTGTTTAACTAAAGTCAATAAATAGTTTGTCTTTGCTATTGAACACAACTTAAAATTATTAAAATGTTTCACAAAAATATAAAAAAAAACTCTGTAAGCTTTATAAAGATTTTTATATGTTAAACAAAAGCCACAAATATTACGGTGAATTAATATTGTAATTAATATTTAAAAAGCGTAATAATAATTAATCTTTAAATTTTAAAAAAACTTAATTTCATTACAAATTATTTTTGGTACCCTTACAAACGTGTGCTCAAAAGGTTTTAAATTTGCCTCACTGTCTGTAACTCTGAGAAATAATGGTATGAGATATGGACATGAGTGTATATTTTCGATCAGCGTCGAGTTCTCTCAGTCTTCCCATCTGCTCTTTGTCGGCCTGTTCCGTCAGCTCGTTCGTCCCAACAATAAGTCTAATTGACCTAAGCTCGCTCGTTCTTCAATAGAAACTATTGAAATTACAGTACCGTAATTTTGCTCAAATAAATGCAATACGGCCTATTATTTACGTGCAAACGTATATTCGAATTTATTATAAATTCACCACTTCGTTTGTATGGCTTAAAAACTAAGCGTCTGTTTCAAAGTTACAGTTACGATTGTACCTGCTTTTTTAATTTATAGCAATTTTTTTTTTAATTTGAAGTTTTATAGTTTTAAACACTAAGCAGTATTAAGTTTAGAACTATGATGATGTATAGACCTCCTGGGAAAAATGATCATCATAAATAATAAGTGAACGCACTAAAAAGTGATACCTCAATAATTAACCTACCATTAATAATTTAAATTTTGCTCAAGAAATTTCTTTTTTGTTAAAAATCAAATGAGTGCAATGTAAACAAATAATTTTGTTCTATATTTCCCATTTCTAGCAAAACAAAACTAATAATTAAAGTTGCCGCATAAGTTAATAATAATCGCACGAATTAACGCTATTACAGAGTTGACGTGATCAACTCTATTTTTTCTCTAGACTCAACAGCACTCCAGCAGTAGGGTGACAAAACGACTCCAGACGAACATAAAACACTTCCGGACGTTTGGCTTTTTGTACTCTTCTTCTCGAGTTATGAGGCCTCAAACTTGGAATTTCTGAAAACCGTCTAATTTTTATATTTTTATTTGTAACTCAACATATATGACAGGTTAACCCAATTTTATGTACTGATTATGAAGCTATTGAAATTCTCCTTCCAGTGGTGCTAGAAACTTTTTTAGGATCAAAGATATTTAAGTGCAAATTTAAAATTAGAAAAAAATTCCAATTGAATTTTGTTTTGTAAACACAATAATAAAATGGTGGTTTTCTTACTCTTGTTTTCTTTTGATATAAAAATAATGGGAAAATGGCGATGCGTTTTATATGATAAGTTCTAAATTGTATCTGTCCGTCCGTCCGTCCGTCCGTCCGTCCGTCCGACCGTCCGTCCGTCCGTCCGTCCGAACGATAACTCAAAAACTAATTGAGCTAAGTTCACCAAATTTTCACAAATGATTTATTGCAGTAAGTGCCAGAATCCTATTTAAATTGGACATGATCGGGGTACCGGTTCGGGTAGATGCCATACAACTTCAAAATTTATTTGGCTATATCTCAGAAACTATAAAAGTTATGGTATTGAAATTTCACACAAACGAATATATTAGTAGGGCCCATGTGTCACATAAAAGTCGTTGAAATTACTTGGCTCCTTCTGGTACCTGCCATACAACTTCCAAAATTATTTGGCTATATTTCAGAAACTATTAAAGTTATGGTATTGAAATTTCACACAAACGAATATATTAGTAGGGCCAATGTGTCACATGAAAGTTGTTGAAATTATTTGGCTCCTTCTGGTACCTGCCATACAACTTCAAAAGTTATTTAGCTATATCTCAGAAACTATAAAAGCTGTAATATTGAGATTTCACACAAGTGAATATATTAGTAGGGCCGATGTGTCTCGTAAAAGTCGTAGAAATTACTTGGGTCCTTCTGGTACCTGCCATACAACTTCAAAAGTTATTTGACTATATTTGAGAAACTATTAAAGCTATGGTATCGAAATTTCACACAAACGAATATATTAGTAGGGCCAATGTGTCTCATAAAAGTCGTTGAAATTACTTGGCTCCTTCTGGTACCTGCCATACAACTTCAAAAGTTATTTGACTATATCTCAGAAACTATAAAAGCTGTAATATTGAGATTTCACACAAGTGAATATATTAGTAGGGCCGATGTGCTTGATAAAATTCGCTAAAATTTCTTGGCTCTTTCTGGTAGCTGCCATAGAACATCAATAGTAGTTTGGCACAACCAGTATTTTGAATAACATATAGTACTGAAATTTTGCATAAATTAATATGGTAATACGGCAACTTAAAGTCATAGTCTGCCCCATAGTTAGTTATGGCACATTAGTTATTCGTACATACGATAACAAATTCGTACGGGTATCACAGAGGTGACAAGGTCAACTCTATTTTTTTATATTTTTTTTATAAAAAAAATCTTGACATTATTAGCACTTTTCCAAAAAAATTTTGAAAAAAGTGCTTATTAGTTTCACTCTGTCCGTCCGTCCGTGTGTCTGTTTACAAAACTTCTACATCATTGAAGATAGACAGCTAAAATTTTATACGTACATAGATCATTACTAGAAACTTACTTCCGTAGAACAAAATTTTTACCTATTCCCCCCCCCCTCCAGAAGTTATACCCCCTCAAAACCTTACAAATGGCCTTTTTTAACTATTTGTTGCAATGAAACCATAAGCATCCTTGAAATTTTGCAAACGCAGAAAGGCAGCGGCTTGCTTTCCCTAGTGCGGTATACTATAGTTAAACTTTAGAAAGGCAAAATGGCCGTTCAAATTTACCGTTATCTAAAAGTCCTTTTTTTCTAAATTTTTGATGTCGTTATTCTTCTAGACCCCAGCTTGTAAAAGCTTGAACTTCTAGGGGTTTTTAGACATTAACTAATGTCTTTATATCTAACAAGTCCCAATGCTCAGAGAGAAACTTAAAAGCACGACCTTATTTTATACGGGTTTTTTTTAAAATCGAAGTAGCTATTTTTTGAGAGGAAATATTAAAATTAATTCACATTTATTATAAAGCAGGTAAAATTTAGAAAATATATTTGAAAAATCAAAAAAATATATTAATATTTTCATTGATAATTATTTTAATATTATAAAAAAAGCGGAAAAACAACAAGCACATCCTTCGCCTTCAACGTTTTATATGTTACTGAAAGCATTTCATTATTTTTAAGTGAACAGCTTTTTTTCTCATAGGGTAAGGTAACTCAAGATATGGGGAGTAACTGTGGTGTCAAGTTGAAAATATAATTAATGAAAGATAATTATTAAATATTGATATGAATACATAGTAAACAAAAAATTTGAAGAGGGAATTAGAAAATAATATCTAAAATACAATCAAATACTATTTGTTAAACACAAATTTTATATAAACTTCAAAATTTTACCTCTATTTTTATTTGAAAAAATATTAAAAACTTACTATCATTTATATCAATTACCTAAGAAAAAAAAATATTTAAAATGTTTGGAAAAAAAAATCATATATTTTTATGACCGGATTTGAATATTTTTTTATTTTTGAAGTAAATGGTATTTTACCAAATGACTCAAAAATTCCGACTGTAAAATAACAGGTAATTTAAAATTTTTGTTCTTTATGTAATATTGTTTCCGTTTAGAATTAAGATAGGTCATACATACACATGCAGGGACATTTTATAAATAGATTGCTCTTGTTTACCTGCTAATAAAATATGAAAAAAGAGAACAGCAAAATTTTTGAAGTACTCAATATAACACGTTTTAAATAGTTTTAAAATAATTATTTAAAAACAAATTTATTGGAAGTAGGTACATACATATTTATTTTTAATAACTTAAAAACTAACTGAAATTATTTGAAACAATTTTATAAGTAACGTATAAATAACCGAAATGAGATAATTCAAATTGTTGAAATGTGTCAGCCTATATTGCTTTTAATAACATTTTTGTTAGCCGACACTACTCAACTTACCTTATTGGGAAATACAAAATGTGCATAAAAAATCATACATCCTTCCTCATTAACATTTGAAACCATACTGAAATATGAAATTGAAATTTTTTTTCATTTTTTCTTTCCTCCTACCTTTCTTTCTTTTTCGTGCAATAGAACTTAAATGGGAAGCTTTTTAAAAAATGTGTATAATATCCTGAGATTTTTTAAAATATTAAACTCTTTTTTAATTATATTTCATAAAGTAATCAGTATGCATACATCTTTTTTTCTTTATAAATTACTTTATTTCTATGTCACTATCTGATACTGTGTATCTACTCTACCAGGTACATGCATGTGTACATTCATACATGAAATTTCAAACTCTTTTGTTTTCATACATTCGAATTTTTTACCTAAACTTTATAAAATGA